CCCCAAGATACTTAAACTCCTCCACTTGGGGCAGGCTCTCGTCCCTGACCCAGAGTGGGGTGAGAGAATCCTGCAAATAAACCAAGTAAAGCTTAATGAGGATGGGATGGATTTGAATTTTACTTGCTGTCTTTGCTGTTTACACATGCTTTTCTATTGGTGGAATGAGAACGTCAGTGTGGGTAGGTACGTGTGACGCTTTTTGACGTATGTCAGCTGACGTGGTGACAGAGAGCATGCAGAGTTGTTAATATGTGACACATCTGCATCCACGGGGTGAGGGGGATGAGCTGTGCTGACAATGAGGTGAGGTACAAGCAGGTGTTTGTTTTTATTACAGCTGTGGACATTTAAGAGGGAATAACTGTTCTGGATGAGGTGGGATAAATGGTTGTTATTTTTCAATTGTTTATGCCAAGAGTGTGAATTAGATTTAGAGGCACTGGCTCTTAAATACAGGAAACCTCTCATGGCTGGAGAAAGTCAAAATTTATTCCTGTTTGATTTCTCTTAGCAGTCACCCCCACACACCAACTTCAGGCCAGAAATATATTTCTGTTTTAGATCACGACTAACAACAGAAGTGGAGTCATGAAGTGGAGGACAAAGCTCCTGGTGCTCTGCTTTCAAAGGGGAAAGCACTCTGACGTAAGATACCACGCGAGTGCTGGCGAACGCCGTGGACCGAGATGCTCTGGAGGTCTGCAGTATTACAAGAGGGATCTAAGACTTGATCTCAAGAGGTCACAACCTTTTAAATGCGCTGCCAGAGCAAGGTGATGTTACACTGGAATGGCAGCCATGCATGGGTGACATGCGGGAGCTCCCCTGGCACAAAGTAATTCAGGATCATTGCTATCAAAAAGAAAATATAACACAGGTGTAAGGGCTGTGTAATGTGTGCCAGACACCGACCTTGTTGCTACAGTTGCTGACCACATGTCTACTGTGCCCTGTGTCTGAATCTACAGCGGCCGTGGATTAGGTTTCCTTCTCAAGTTAGATTAATTTGGTGTTGAAATTAAAGATTAGACACAGACAAGTGTTGTGACGGAACACAATCGGGTGTGAGAATATACACAGGCTTTTCTTTTTGTAAATACATCTCTCTTCTTTCATGAATGTAGCTTTTCAAAGATGTTTTAAGATCAAATCTATCAGTTTACATTGCCAGTATACAGTGCTTATCACATTTATTAGACCAAGATCTAATCTAAGCTTTATGACACAGCTGTAGCTTCAAGGTATCAATCAGGTACAAAATCACATTTTTAATACTACTAAAACACATTTATTTTTATTAAGTGGCCAAATAGTCATTTACTTGGATTTATGATCAGAAACAGTTTTTAATGGTTGAACATTGAACCTGCACACAAATTAATCAAGTCTAAAGTTCGGTATAAAACATGAAATTATTATTTGCATTAATTATTATCCATGTATATTTTTCAATATATTTTTAAACATTTTTGCTTTGTTTTAATCACAGGTGGACTAATAAATATATTGAGCACGGTAAAACCAAACATAATTGCTCTAAAATATTTTTGTTGAGATAATTTGATTAGTTTGGCTGTACACACACACACTTGTGTTCTGATGAAAATGTGAAGAAACTAAATGTAAAAGTAACATATATCATAAATATGTTACTTTACCACCAATGGACTTTGCTGTAAAAAAAAAAAAAAAAAGTCAATTAAAGAGCACCACCTAGTGGTGGCAGTCTCATGAAGCGGAGATGACGTGTTTATTTATTTTATTTTATTTTTTTTCACCTTTTATTATTTTCTATTTTCTTATTACATAAAAAGGAACACAAACATTTAAAATAAGAAAGCTTTGAAACAAGGTACAACATATGAGGAGTTCAATCCCAAACAAAGACTCCATGAAGGAAATTTAAGATTAATAACATCTTGGCTTCCTAGAAAACACCGACTGTCCGAGTACTGAACCCAAGTGGACACGGTCAGGTTTCACAAACATTCTTGTTAGGAGGATGTGTTGGTTCCCAAATGGGTATCTGTTGTTTTGGAATTAAACTTCATATATTGAAATGACCTCAAGACCAGAATTGACAGAATACAAGCATAAAAAGGGAACCACAAGCTTTGAACATTTTAAGCCAAGTGGCTTTTGTGACAGAAGTAATATTTCATGAGTACAAAGAGTATACATTACAGAAACCAGAGTAAGAATGAACACATCCAGATGAGCCTAAGGCCCCCAAAGATTCATCCAAGTCATATCAAAACACTCAACTGTACACAAGAGGAAAGATCCTGAAGGGTTGCATCTCTGGTGCTTTTATCATTGGATGACAGATTGCCAAAATTCGGCTAAAATAAATCATCGCAGTAACACAAACATGAAGTGCTCCCTTCAGAACCTTTTTTTTTTTCAGTGTAAAATAACTACACCTCTCTTAACTGTCATCTATAATGAGGCTGATTCACATCAAGTCCGTCAGCTTAAAGATTAACAACATAGCCGCATTTTGTCCTCCAGATTTTTCGTATCAGCCTTTGAAGATTTAACTCTAAATATGAGTAATGGTCAGTTGGGGTTTCTGGGCATGAATTAAATTACATCTTAATCACAAGGACGTCACAAGAAGCTGAGACTTCCTGTGTTGTTTATGTTTAACACGACTATAAAAAGGTTTTTGGACTGAGTGGGATATGTCTGTGTTTGGGCCCTGTTTTGGAGGCCTTTGAGGTTTGCAGTGCGCTGTAGAGATGGAGGAAGAGGGGCTGGAGGTGGGGGCCGAGAGGACGATAAAGAGCAGGAGACTCTTAACCATGGGTGGTGTCATCCTCCACAAAGTCTTTGGCCTGCTCCGCTGTGATCACGTCGATGTGACTCACCTAAAAAACACAGAGACGGTTAATGACTAATCAATGCTGCACCGACTGAGCAGTAATCGTTTTTCTTAAGAGACAGACACAAAAGAAATTACTATCACTTTTCTGACGGAGAACAAAGACACAAATGAACTTTGAATGCTATTGATTTAAGACAAATGGAGTTTGAACAGAATGCAAAATTATGTTTACAACACTGTCACCACCACTGCATTTTCTCCCTTGAATCCTAAAGCTAAAGTGAAGAAAATAGTTGTTTTTCCCCCCACTGACTTTAGTAGGCTGGGCTGTGTGAGAACAAATGAGCAGCCTCTCTTAAGACTTATTTTTCTTGCTATTGTTGTAAAAAAATAAATAAAATAAAATCACCACCTACTATTGGGAGCAAAAAAAGTCAAATGCATTTGAATTCTCAGAAACATCATCACGCTGTAAACGATCACCGACGATTGTGAGAAAACTTGCTCAGGTACGTTTAAAACTTGTTAATCCCAGAGCATAGTCTGACTCTCAGTAGATATACAGAGACTCGAAGGAAGAGGCCTCACCTTGTTTCTGAATTTGACACCATAGAACTTGTCGGCAGATTCGAGCAGCTCAGGTCTGAAGGTGGTGGTGATGAACTGGGCATGGCCAGCCAGCTCAACAATCATATCTGTAATAAGAAGGTTGGTTTGCTTTGAATAAAGTTTCCAATATTTCAGCAACTGTCATTTTAACTTTCTTTTGGTCAGTAATATTTTCTCCAAACCATGCATCACACCTGCTCATGATAAAGTTTCATAATTCTCCCAGGTGAGACCTGATGCTCATCTCCTACTTCTACCAGCTTTCATTTGTCTTCTCTCCAGGACATACCTCCACCTCTCCAGGCTATCGTCCACCTTCTACCTACTCTTACTACAGAGGAGACTGCGATCAATGATGAGAGGTATTTTTATTAATCAACCCTACTAAGCCATAGGGATTAAATTGCCATCATTTAATCTGTGTAGACACATAACTCATCGTTACCTGAGACAGCCTTTCTGTGCTGTGCGTCCAGGGCCTGGTCGATCTCATCAAACAGGTAGAAAGGAGCAGGGTCACACTTCTGGATGGCAAATATCAGAGCCAAAGCCACCAGAGACTTCTGACCTCCAGACAGCTGCTGCATCTCTCTCATCTCGCCCTGCTTCCCGGTGAAGGACACCTACGCAGGACATGTGCATCAAATTAGACCATCAAACTTTTCTTGAAACAAAAACAGAGAAATCAATTTCTTTACTGTAAGAACTTTATTATAAGAGTCTCTGATTCATGAAGTTAAACAAATCCTCTGCAATGTTACAACAGCTCTGATAATGATAAAGATAAATTTAGCCCTAAGAGGACTGCGCATTACTCATTGCATGACCAATCTCACCTTGGTTCTTTCTCTGTGTGGGAGGACCAGAAATCATAACAGTCCAGAAATACACATTCACATGTTTCCAAACAAAGACTCAAGGAAACTCAATACACTGAGGGTACTCAAGAAGCACAATTTTACCTCAGAAATGATAAAACTTTATATAATGAGAAAAACTAAAGAGCTGAAATATTTTGCTTACTTATAGCATCTTCTTCTTATTTGATTATCTTCCATTCATTTAAAAAAAAAAGCTGATTTATAAATGGTAATCAGTAAAGCCCGTCAACTAACAGCAGATAAAACAACTGAACTGAAAAAGACTCCCACCCTGATGCCGACTCCAGTGAACTGGTCCACGGAGGGAACGCTACTCTGTGAACCGGAGCCCCTCTCGCTGTCAGCACCCCCCTCTCCTTCATCCTGAGACTGGCTTCCTTCAGCATCACCTTTCTTCATCACCAGCGTAGCTTTGCCACCCGGCACCAGTTTCTGGAAAACCTCACTGAAATTCTTCGACACCTGAGAGGAGCAGAAGGTAAGAAGAGATAGAAAGTGAATTTTAGTCACATTTTGATGAATTTTTCACATTCTGAGAAAATGCTTTAAATTAGTGTTGAACTTCTTCAGGGATAAACCTCTTGCCATCTTCTAGGTTTCACCTCAGTCGAAGTGAGGTCACCACACTGGACCACTCAACCATGTTTGTAGCTTCTGAAGCATTTTTAATGTAGCTTTTGTGTAACTGGGTGTACTAACAGTCTGCCCAAGAAAGATTTGCTCCAGTTTTGGGTGTGTGAAATTATAGTGTGTTATTAGTGTCTTACCAGGAATTTACAATCCTACGATTTACGTATGAAGTGTGCTAGCTTTGGCTCGTAAGTTAGCACTGCTTGTCCAAATAAGATCACTTCTGCTTTCCCCAAAAAATGTGGGTGATTTACATACAGGTTTAAGGTAAAAACCATGGACTTGTATCACTGAAGATTTTAATCAGAGTCTGAGCTGCAATGTACCTGTTTGAAGGTGAGCTGAATGGCCTCGTACTTGCGCAGCTCCAAGACATTCATGAGCTCCATGATGGATTTGTAGCCACGGTCCAGCTCATCCTGACGCTTGATTAGCTTTTCCTTCTGCTCGGAGAAGTTGACAAACTGGTCTAGAGCCTTTTTGTTGACATGGCTGTACTTCTTCAGCTCAGTGTTGCACTGCTCCAGTTTTCTGAACAACTGTTGGAGGAGAGGAAAAAAAGTGGAATACAATACATCATTAGTTCCAGGCAAGATCAGATCTGCTTTAAATCAGTATCATTTTAAATTACGCCTCAAAACATGCTCTCTTTCAAAATTATAATTTAGATTGCTTGTGCATTCATCCATCCATCTTTCAGAAAACAATACTTTTTGTGTCTGTGAAGGTTCTCAGTCATCCAGGTCATCGTAGTCAAAGGAGCTCGCAAAAGAAAAGCGTCTGGACTTCTTTAAGTTGCTTGAAGACGTTTCACCTCTCATCAAGAAGCTTCTCGAATGAGAGGTGAAACGTCTTCAAGCAACTTAAAGAAGTCCAGATGCTTTTCTTTTGCAAGCTCCTTTGAATACTTTTTGTGAAATAACAGTATATTAAGTGATGCACACAGAAAGCCACCAATGTAAAAAATAATAATAAAAAAAAATGCATACATGCGTGTTTTAATTTTTATGTTTTTAAAACCTGAACTCACTAATTTGGCAATTTTGCTTTGATGTTACAACTACACTTTCAGGAAATATTGCTCAGTACTTTTATATTTTCAGATTATTTTTCCACTCAAGGACAGGTTTCATAATGCTAGAAAATGAGTTTCACATGTTTAACTAAACATACATTCATTATTCATTTCATGGACGCGTTTTGCACCTTTTATTCATATCTGAAAGAGGACACGGCCTGATCAATTAAGATCTAGTTTAGTCTAGCCTGAAAGTGTCTCACTGTCTCTCCAAACTCTCAAACTATAAATTCATCTCTTTGAATCGCTAATGACCAAGTGCCATTATTACATGGCTCTCTCAAACACTTCTGCAATCAATGGCACCATCATGCCCCCAAGCAGTGTCCTGTGGAGAAAGATTAACTATATGGAGTGTTTATGAGCAAGCGAGCCTATTTTCGGCATTGTTGAGGAGGGGGGCTTACACAAGCACACACGCATAGACACAGACATAGTGTGCGCACTCAGACACTTATGAAAGAAGCAGCCAAGTCCACTCAACACACAGTCTTTACCCCCAGTGTCTAGTGAGTCACTAGTGAGTGGGTGGGATGTGATGGCCTTGGGCTTTATTCCTAAAGAGACCTGGCTCTGGCTGCATGTGTATGTGCAGATATTTCTAAATGGATTTGGGGGACAAAATGCACATAAAGACTGACCTCAACCCAGCTATTTCATTATTGTTTGTGTTGCTGCTGTAATGGCTAACATGTGAAATAAAACTGTTCCTGTAAGATTGCGCTGCTTTGCAGGATACTGTCTTTCAGGTCACCAATTTACTCTCACTGATGCCAACAGCTTTTCAGGAGCAAGGCTCTCTACTCAGCTGAACCCCAGAACAAAGGTTATAAGCTAATGAACATTGGTGGGAATACATTTTGGACCTAAAATAATCAGGCAGACAGTAATGTGATTCCAAGCTAGTGTTGTTCTGTGTCTGTTAAATGTGTGCTAAAGTAATGATTTGAATGTATTTTGTACAATCACCAATTCAACTTCATAAAGTAATGAATAATATGTCAGTGTGTCCAATGACTCGAGTGATCCACAGTGGGTGTGTGGATGTTTTGTGATTTACTCTTTCTGATCCTATGCATGTAACTTGCCAAGGGACTGCCGATTCATATTAGCTTTATGAATTTGAATTTTGAATTTATTTATTTAAAGGGACAGTGCAGTTAAACATAGTTCAAGTGCAAGCCATGAGACTGATGTACTGCACATAGGTTTATAGCTACTGCTATGCTAACTAAAGCGAACTAAGCTAACAGTTAATATTGTACATATTTCCTTCTTAAGTGAAACCAATTAAATTAAAACGAATAATTATTATCTTTACCAGTCTATCTATTCATATAAAGTCACTCTAAACAACACATGGAGGATGCCATCAACTGGCTCCTGCACCCAGCACACTCCCTCTTTGAAATAACTGCAAACACTGTGAGAATTATGCTCTTTGCTGTCTTTGTGTGGATGTGGGTGGATGGTGTTTTGGGACGGGATCAATAGGATGTTACTTTGGGCATACCCCGGCTGGTATGAGCCCCTCTCCGAGAATTGAGAGGGTTTCATTGCATAACTGATGTACAGAAGTACAGCAGAGTGGTGGACAGTTTTATAGATGGTGTGAGCTAATCTACAGCTTGCCATCACTAATACTAAGCCACTGATTTTAGCCAATAGGAAACAGGTTCCTCCTATTCTCCTGGCAGCACCAAGGAGTTAGATTAAGAGGTGGCTGAGGACAACAGATACGCATAGACAGTGAATTGTGACTGGTCCAGGAACGCTGAAGTTGTCTTTAAGAAGGTCTAACAAGCTGATCAGGAAAGCTGGGCCAGTTCTAGGAGTAGAACTTAAGACTCTGTGTCTGAGAGCAGGATGCTGAAGAAAGTCTTCAGCATCATGGAAAATCCATTCTACCCTGTGCATGCTTCCCTGACTGGTCACCAGAGCAAATACAGTAAAAGCCTCATTGCCCTGAGATGCAGGTCTGAGTGCTACAGAAGATATTTGTCTCACTGTGACTCTATAACTCCTCTCCATTGTGTAAGGAAGGTGGGACTCTTACAAACACTTTAACACACGCACAACAGTGCTCTTTTACATCACTCCATCTGTTCTTTCCAGGATAGATGGATTATTATAATCTCTGATTTTTCTCTCTCTATTATCACTTACCTCATCTGCTCATAGCATAGACATCATTATCACTGTGTCAGTTTCTGCCTATTTGCACTTCAACTCACATGCAAGATGCTGTACATATGTGTATTTCTACTCATACTAAAACTGCTTTTCTTTTTTGTGTATCTTGTTTTTCAATGAACTGTGCCTTATTCTATGTTTAAAATGCATTTTATTCTGTTTTTGACACTTTCCCACTGAAACTTGTTAGTTTAAAGTGACTGAGCATGACTCCCAGCTCCCAGTGAAAATAAAAGCCCCCAGTGCTTTGTTTCCATTGAGCATGTAAAAGGCAGAACAATTTCCCCACTGAAAATAATAAATGTCGTATTTTAATAAACTCCCACTGAAAAATAACACTGTACACTACATGTCTGAAAAATGCTAGGGCTGGCTGATAAAAAAGAAAAGAAAAGAAATTTTAAAGCCAGCGGCGAGCATATAACATCATTAAGCACTGTGTGTGAGTGTGTGTGGGTGGCAAGGCGTACCTGTTTGAGTGTGAGGGTCTGGTATTTCTCAAACGCCTCCTGAGGCAGCGAGCCGAGCTCTCTGATTTTCTTCATGCACTCCTCTTTCTTCTTGAGCAGCATGCCCTGTCTGTTGGTCATTTTCTCCAGCTCCTTTGTGTCATGGTTGATGGCGTCATTCTGCTCCTTCTCTATGTTCTTCCATCGCTCCATGCTCTTTATGTGCTCCTTGATCTCCGCCTCAGTCTTGTCAATCAGAGAATCCAGATCTGGGAAAGACATTTGAGGAGGTGATATGGGTTAGATTTTTATCTACACATAGTATACTGCCGAATTCCTGACTTTAAAAAAAGATGACTTTCTTTAATAGTTACTGCAATTTGCTTCGTCTGGGAAAAACAAACAAACAAACAAACAAACAAAAAAACAAACAAACAACAAAGATGGTAAGGGGAAGTTTTTTACCAACTTATTTTGGGTGGACTGTTTGAGCCTTTTATTGAATTAGATTTGAGTGGTTACTTTCTTTGATGATGTAACATTTTAAATGCTGCTGACATGTGCAGCACAACATGCATGCACTTTCAGATGAGTTTGCCAACAGTAGCCAATGCTAGCCAGTGTACTGGCAGTGTAAAACCCATCCACATCCACACACCTTTGCTGAATGTGGTTACACACTTTCTTTGATCAAAGGAGAACGCACCAAGTTTGTAGCACTGCCACCTCCTTTGATTTCCAACTTGTCACAGACCAGAGAGAGAAAGGTGCTGCAAAGATCACGGCTGGAAAGATCTTTGAGATGTTGTAACTCATTAAAATACGAATAATTACTTAAACTGACTATTTTAAGTGCCATCTAGCGAAGGCCTGCAACTTTTAATTATTTTGTCGACCACTCTCGTATATCCTTAGTTTCAAGATGGCTCGTAAGACTTCGTGTCATCTTTGTTCAGCAGAAGCGATTACATCATTTGTCTTTAGAGCCTTTTCTCAACAACCTACAAAAAGGGAGACAATGTCTCTTTCTTTCATTTAAAGAAAGAAGAAATTAAGATTTTGCGTCTTTCTTTTTTGGAACAAAGGTAAAACTGACAATAGTCAAGAGTGGATGACTGAATATAGCGCCTACATAAGAAAAGGATGATACTGTGAATGCCTTTAATTAGTTAGTGCCAATGATGAAATATGAATCCATGCAAATTAAGGGTATTCAGAAACAAGTGCTTTTTGACAACTGCATTTTATCACCTCTGAGTCACTGCACCACATTTATAGAACATTTATACAAATGTGCGACCAGGCAGTCTGTGCAAAAACATATTATCCAAATTGTGATTCGAAGGCATCACAGCCATTCTCACCATCTGCTGGCAGTACCAACTCAATGAAGGCATCCTACAGTTTTTCAATTTACACTCAAATGACAACAATAAATTGAGCCAGACAGGTAATAAATTAACTAAGCATAAGATATAGAAGACTGGAACGATTTGATTTTTTTCCTTTGCTTTCATTTTACCCGGAAATGTGCAGTAATGAGCACTACATAGCTACAGATTACAAAGAGATACAGATATTTACCTATAGCCTATCTATAGATGAAAAAATAAGACTTAAAAGTCAACGTCAAAAGTTAAGGTATAATTTAAAGTCCAGCTGCAGCCTCTCCTCTCGAACACTAGAGCAGACAGTGAACCTAGTTGTTAAAGTATTATTTACAGCTGTCAGCTATGCTTTAAGGGCAAAGCCTTTGTGACAGCAGAAGACCCAGATACTTGATCCACCCTTTATATTAGCTCAATGATGTTTAATAAAAGAAAAACAAACTGAATATTGTGTCCTATATAATTACTGTAAAAAAGGTTTTAACTGAGTCACATTATTTCATGTGTATTTTTAAAGCAAGTGTCCATGGCTTTTTGGGTTTATTTCATTTTCAAAAACCCTTCCTGCCCTGAAAAATAATATTTTCATTATTTTTCCTGGTCTTTAATGACAAAAATCAGTAATTTACTTTAAATACTAAAAACTCCTTAAAAATACTTTTCTTTGTGATAATAATAAAATTAAAACGTATGCTGCAGTCCAGAGTACAGTGAATTTAAACACTGTAAATACTGGCTCCAAAACACATGCTTTCAGGCATTTTCTTCATAAATTCAACTTTAACTTCTGGACAACTGTAAGACAGACTTACATTTAATGAAAGCAAACAATTACAATAGAGGAGCAACCATTAAAAATACACCAACAGGATCCCCTGTAAGTGATCATGTCTAAAGTGAAACCTAATCTAACTTAAACCACTTTTAAGTAGGTATAAACTGTCCTGTTAGTAAAATAATACATGAGCTTCTATATATGTGTCATAAATGTAGCCACAACCACAGCAGTGACTATTTTATCCCAACATATGAACAGTAGTACTGACAAACATATCAATAAATTAAAAACCACATACCTTCTGATCGAGCTAAAGTCTCTTTAACACGTTTGTTGATGCCGTCCAGCTCAGAGGTTGTGGCCGTGAGCACCGTGCCTCCCTCCGTCTCACGCAGCTCGTTTAGCTCCTGTGAAATACAAAGTGAGGGAACATCAAAATAGTAGAATAAATAAAAACGGAGGGTCATTCAAACACCCCTCTACCTAGAAAATGAAAACATTATTTATAATTAAATCAGCTATATCCAAGAATTAATTTGTAACAGACCACAATTTAACAGCAGAAAACAAAGAATCAGAACTTAAAATAATCTGACTTTGTTAATATGAAAAGGGAAATAATTCAACAAACATACACATATAGATCATGTGACAAACATATTCTACAAGCAAAGTGCTTAAAGGGATGATGTACCTGCTCCACTTGGTCAAGACGTTTCCTTAAGTTCTCATTGAGATATGTTTCCACTCTGGTCATGATGCCCTCAAGCTTGATTCTCTCATTCAGCAACTGTCTGTTGTCCTGCAAGTGAATAAAGACATCGAAGCACAAAAGTTACTTATGTGATATTTTCACTATGTGTTGAAATACCAGTGATTTGATATTTGAATGGGTTTTTCTCGCTTTGTTTATCACATAAAAGAAATCTCTTGCATGAAATGGTGCTGTCAGAGTGACGGATGTGTGAGGAGTGATAGTCATTTATCTAAAAGCCAATGTTGCAGTTTCTGCCTTTATAAACATCCTGACAATCCTAAGATGAGAGCAACTTTAACTGTTCAGTCTACACAGAATACAATCTGCTAAAAATAAATAAATAAAAATTGTGTATACACTTATCTGCCTCAGCGACAGTTATCAATGAATGTTATGTAAAGGAACAAGTCTTTGCCCACTTATGTCGAAGCAAATATCATATTAACCAAAACCCATGAAAACTAAACCAGGAGTTCTGTTGCAGGTAATATAATCTGACAACAGCAAACATAACAGAACCATATATGAAAGGCTTCATGTTGTGGGGGCGGAGTTGTTGCACAACGATGGCAGGAATGGCTGGAAGTTCAATGAGGGGAAAGCCGAGAGCAGCTGGCCGTGAAAGAGAAAGACAGGGCAATGCTGTATCACAGGAACATCCCACACACAGCTGCTGCCTGCTTCTCTCACCTCAGTCAGAGCATGTGAATACACTAGGAGGAGGCAGAAAGCGAAAGGACACCGAGAAACAAATGTAGGTAACCGGCATGTTCTCTGAACTCCATGTAAGCACACACGGATGCTGCCACAATTTCAGATTCAACACATTTCTAAAAGACAGTAATTATTTCACTGGAACATTTTTCTTAAATGTCTCACAGTTGATACATAAGTTTTTTGTTTTTTCACATCAGTGTGATTTCCCCCCCTGAAAAACCTGAATAAATTGCACAATAAAGTTTTGAGCAATAAACTGCTGTAAACTGATATAGCACAATTACACAAATGAAAATTCATGTGTGTGTGTGTGTCAGTTATTTTACAGTGCAGAAACATTGTCACAAATGCTGCAACAGACACAGTCTGTGTCCACTGACCTGCTGCAACTGACGAATCTCATCGTTGAGGTCGTCGACACGCCTCTGATCTTCCAGGCTGAGCTGAGACAGCAAATCTGTACCGAGCTCCGCCTTCAGCGACTCTCTGGTGGACTCCATGGCATGGAGGCTGGCCTCCAAACTCTGAAGGCTGCGTTGCTGGACAGAGAGAGAGAAAGAACGAAGGAACGTTAGACAGCCATGGGCAACATTAAGACACAATAATGGGGACAGGCTGAACCTGAGGCACAGACCAAGTTAAACATCAATAACAAAATCTGGTCATAGTGATCTTGAACACAGGGTTTTTAATACAGGTTACAATACACTACAACAATGAGGTAATATTACCTTGGGCATGAAAGTCTTCTCCGACTGCTGCCTCTTCTCCTTCAACATCTTCATTTCTGACAGAATACTGTCTCTGGATGCCTTAAACTTCCTCTGCTGTGTCTCGATCTGCTGCATCTGATTCATCAGTTGGTCAATCTCATTGTTGATACGTGGAGGTGGCAGTTAAGGAAGTATATGCCAATTTTTACTACAGACGAGCATTTTCAGTTTTTCTTAATAGCCACTCTTGAGCTAATCACAGTTAAGTCATATTGCAGTGCCTATTACCTGATGCGATGCATTGTTAAATCGTTATTACCATTTCCCCAAGCTAGTTAAGTGCTGGGACTGCAAGAAACCTGGATATGCAGCCCATGAAACCCATTCAAGCATTGAAACACTAGTGACTTACACAATAAATACAACTGTATGTCAACTCAGCTGAGCAAACATTACAAACCAACATAAAACATGCCAGACAATGAAAACACCTGCAAACTGCAATATTTACAAGAGTAAACACTATATAACTCTGATATAACTAGTTTGATGTGACCTGTCGCAATGCAACAATTAAATTACCCCCAGGTAAAAAAGTGTAACATACACTTAAAAATACACTTGTGACATACACTTTCCAAAATGATATTAATGTTTTCAGTGCTTTTGCTTGTCCCCAAGCTGAGAAAGAAACAAATTTTCCCTTATAGCAAAAGAAGAAAAAAAGAAATGAGTTGGTGCAAGATTAATGAATGTCACAGAACAATGATACAATACATAGCACATAAACACCTGATTACCCTGTTAGTTTAAGTGTCATACTTTTCTTCTAATAGGTCTTGAACTAGAGATTAAAATCACCAGTTGTGCTTCTAATGCCACAGGAAGAAGGTTCCAGGTTTAGAAGTCAGTTTTTGGTTTTGTTAATTTATTCGTTTTTGTTAGTCAACCAAACTACTTGAAACGGTTAAATAAAAAGGATAAGAAATGATTCAGCTTTAATTAAGCACTTTGGCACAGAATCCCTAAACAACAGACAGTTTTGTTGAAGCTGAAGCAGCAAACTGGAAGGGCACTCAGAGAGTTGATCTTCTGCCAAGGCCAAAGTCACATTCAGCTATTTTAAGTGACTTGGATCTAAAATTAAAGCATGTAAAGGGTTCTTCTTTCGCACATACACCACCTCTTCCCAAAGTTTCAAGAAATTCAGCCTGGTTAAATTTTCTGTAATCGTACTGACAGACACACAAAAGACACTGATCAGATAATGAGTAAAGTCATGGGGCATGTTGTAGGCTATTTAGTGCTCCAATAATGTGATTGGGCTTTTAGGGAAGGAGGTGTCTCTAAAATCAAAGCAGAGGATTAAGAAGGGCTGCACATGCTCATCATTAAGTTAATTTAACAGACAGGCTTATTGATCTTCAAAGGACTGCAAAACTCCTGTGGGCCTCTGAGGTTTACCAGGACTCAATGAACACCAAGACCAATCAATGTAGTGATATAAAAAGGACTGAAGGAAAGTGGATTTTCCTGCCTGCTGACCAGAGAAGACTGAGAAAACAGATGTTCAAAGATAATCTGACAAATGTGAACAGATAATATCAGGCTGCAAACTGTTTTTTTCCATAGAAAAACAAGATAAATTAGCACAACCACATAAAAATCAGGTACATTTAAAATTTCTGTTTCACATAAAAACTGTATGAAGTTTCACGGCAATGTAATGGAACAGTGAAGACGGCAACTAAAAGAAGGAAGGAAGGAATGGCTGGGAGCTCATGCTTATTGACAGGGCAGAGGTGGAGAGTGAAAAACAAGGTGTCTTAAATAATTAATTCATTCTCTGACTCACTCCTCTGGGGAGTGAAGTGAAGCACCATGTCATCGGCACAGATGCCCATTTCGCCTACTGACTCGTACATATACGTAATCACCAGGTGCGCACACACCAAGCAGCATACGCTTTACTGGCTGTGAGTGAGTGAGAAGCTACACACCAAAACACAGGTGTGCAAACAGACATTTAATCATACTGGGCCGGAAGTGACCATATTCATAAATACATCGCACATGCAAACACAAATCCTCTGTGATCCACTTGTTTGGCCTTCATGAGCTGTCCAGCAGTGAGTCATGGCTCTGGCCGATATGACCCAACACACACTAATCCTTCTTGACCCGATTAAACTCTGCCACAGCGTCCCAGCTAGGCTCCAACTGGCCTTAAGGTAGCTACACAACCCAGACTGATTTAATACACAATTAAAACAAAGGTTCAGCCATGTGACATCACTGCATAATTGAATGAGGGTGGTGTAACTTTCAATAACATAGTTTTATACAGAAAACAGCTCCAATTTAAATTACAATTTTAGTCCTAAGAGGGTGCAAAGTTTTCTGTTGTCAACACAAAGCAATGTTTACTTTAAAAGTCAATATGAAAACGATTTTAGAAAGGCTAGTTTTAACTGTACATCATGATTTAAACCTTTCAGGCAAACACAATCTCTATCCTGAAAAGGAAAGAAAATCTACTTGGATCTAACAGATACCGATTATTAACTGTCTGTCTCCAGTGTTTATGAATTTCATAACATTTCAAAGTGGGAGATGTCTGTTTAGTCATTTTCAAATTCAGTCTTGAATCACATACTCCCCTTTTCCCTCGGTATTCCAGTCAAACCCAGGCCATTTTTCTATTGTCAGTAAGTCTAAGCAGGGGGCCAAAACTCTGCCTCACTAATAACGCGATTCTTCAGTGAAGCTTTCAAGTTTGCTCATACTCTCAACGGACAGCAACACACAGCGCTCTAACATCAACATGATAAACAAACTCGCCACACGTTTTAATAGAAAGGATATGTTCAATGTTCCTGCGCAGGTTTTCATTGAGTTTGGCCTCCAGCTCACCCAGCTCCTCCTCAGCCTTCCTCATGTCTTTCTGAAGCTCCAGGCGAGACTTTCTGGTATCATAGTATCCTCCTGTCAGAGCTCCACGGTGGCTGACTTGGTCACCTAGTAAGTAACAAAACAATGATATGAATGTTCTCAACTGGAGTATTTTGCACTGAGAATTGTTGAAGCTGTACTGCATTTCACAGCAAAGCTTACCCTCCAGAGTAATACAGTCCATGGTGAAAGCTCTTGCCAACTGGGTGGAAACCTCCATGCTACGACAAATGAGGGTCTTCCCAAACACGTGCTTGAAGGCTTTGTCAAAGTTGGAACTGTAGCGGAGCTTGCTGATCATTGGGATGGCATCCTGATGGAGAAAAATGAAACAAACAAACAAAAAAAAATCATTGGTAATAATGAAACTAATTTGTCAGTAGAAATCTTGATGAGAAAAATGGAATGAAGAGGACTGAACAAAGGGAAAGTTGAATGCAGTTTTTATGTTAACTGCCACTGTCAATTACTGTATACCACTATTTGCTAGTAGATTCAAAATTTAATACATGCAAAGCGCCCATTCATGTCAGATACTTACGTTGGTTTCTGGGTATGCGGTGTCTCTGACGTCCAGCTTGCTCAGAGGTAGGAATGTGACTTCTCCAGGCAAGTTCATTTTGTTGAACTCCATGAGTATTTTAGTGCTCACTTCATCAGTCTCCACAATGTGGTAAAACAGCCTTAAAAAAAACAAAGAAACAAACAAAGACAAAAAAACAAAACAAACAAAAGTAATTTTTTACTATAAATCATAAATTGTTTATAAAATCTACAACACCTGCTCTGTGAGTAAACATGAAAACTCCCATTTGATATTTAAAATTTTTAACAGGTTCTAAAGAGGAAGAATAAAGCAATAATAAAAAAAAGCCCAAGGCAGATGGTATACTGATACTACAAACGGGGGAGTAACTTCAGACTAAATGTTTTAAACTGACTGGGCTGCTGGCTTCCCACGCAGCAACCTGCTCCTTTTACCCACCGGGCACATTTGTATAATCTTGCATAATAAAAGGACTTGGAGCCAGAAAGTGTTGTTTTCATTTCAGCCTACACAGACATTTGAATGAAAATACAAAAGCAAACCACACCTGGTCCCAGCTGTAACCTCCACGCAGGTGTAAAAAGCAGGCTCACATTCAAAGTTATTCATGACGATGCCATGATAACCATTGATGACATGCTGGTTGATGCCCTTTCGACGGAAATGCTCAAGGACTTTGTTGATGCTGTCAATACCATTCAAGATGGCCTGGAGGAAAGATCTACATTCTCAGTATGCAAAATAACACACAAAAAAGCACAGAAAAATAAACTCAGGTCTGTATTAACTCCATTGCGCAATCCTACACTGAAATATACACTGCGAATATAAAAATGTGAGATAGATACAGCCCATCAAAGGCTGGAGACGGATGAGTCAGCCGGGAGTAATGTAAGAAAAATAAATGTAGGACATTTGTCCATGAAGCTACACACAGCCTCCTTTCATCTGGGCAGACATTATTCAGAAGTGATATTTGATTGATGTATATGCCCCGAAGAAATGACTGGATGAGGCAGAAAGGAGTGAGTCATATGTAAATTTAGCTAGCTATCATAAGGTGCCAGTAGCAAAGCAGATGAATGATTCCATTTGATATATCTATTCTGACAACCGGCTGAGTCACAAAGTGAGTCGGTCGCTGTATTAAGGTGGGCTCGTTTAGAGAGTGAGGCCTCTTTTTCTTTTTTAAACTTGGGATTTGATTTATCTTCTCTTGCCCATTTCTTCGCTAACAGCTCTTCTGTATGTAAGTGCGTGTGTGAACTATAATGGCAGGTCTACCTGTGGCTTACAAGTGACATCCTGGGAAAGAGGAAGATAAATCCATGTACTGTGTGTGTGTGTTCAAGTAAAAGGATTACTTTTCAATCCACTGACAAAAAAGACAAAACATCCACTTCTGTGCCCATACATGCACAGTCACACTTTCACTTGTATCCAGGTGGAAGCATTGGGGATCCTATAGTTGCATTATGCACGTCAATAATTACGCAGTCATGTACAGTGACACGGACCTTGCCGGTGGCTGCTCTGAGGAGCTGCTGTTTTTTCTCCAGGTCCTCTCGTTTGGCTGCCAGAGCCTGCTGCTCTGCGTTCTCCTCACGCCACAGGTAGCTGGGCAGATACAGAGAGTCACACACTGTTACACTTATGTCACCAGAAGCACTAAAACGCAAGTGCAGTCATGACACTAAAACAAAAACAAAAAAAACCCTTCAAACTAAAACTCTCTTTTATAAAGGGTTACATCTTTTATCTCTGTATTCCTTCATCTTGGAAATAGATTATGAAACCAACACAGCTGCTGATTCATAGTTTGAATGTATTTAAACATAAATATTCATTCACTTTCACATAATTTCAAGTCAAGCTGTTTTTAATTGCAAACTGTAACTATCATCCTCAAGTAAAAATATATCATCTCGATTCCCTGCCAAACCATCTCATTGTTTCGGTTTGAGTAAATTCATCATTTGTTCTCATTTTTAGATATGCTACTAATAGCTTGCAGCTGTCATTTTGCCTTCTCACCCGACAGACTGCGCAGCGGATCACAGTGATGGGTGCATAATTAAAAATCTGACATACACAAACTATTCGTGGAATCTGTTTTACATGCTGACAGTAATAAGGGTCTTGCTGAATTTAATAGAATTCAGTTTAAAAAAAAAA